CACACAAAGAAAACTCCAGGGTACCTGAATGAAATAATCAGGGAGACTACACCACTGGTTCCCACAGTCATCTACTGATAAGGCACCTGGCCAGCACTGGGAGAGTAGCAGATCTATCTAATACAAAGAAAGAAATGCAGAAAGGCAGCCAAAATGGTGAGACAAAAAACATGCCCCAAATGAAAAAAGGAGAAACCTCCCCTGCCCAAAAAAAAGAACTAAATAAAATGGAGGCAAACAATCTACCCAATAGAGTTCAAAACAATGATTATAAGGTTGTTCAAAGAACTTAGTGAGAACTCAACAGAAAAAGAAGTCAGAAATGAATAATACAATGTCTGAAATGAAGAATACACTAGAAGGAATCAAAAGCAAATCAGATAAAGCAGAGGATCAAATGAGCATTCTGTAATACAATGTAGGGGAAAACACCTAATCAGAGCAGAAAAGAAATTTTTTTAAGAGAATAGTTCAAAGGACCTCTGAGACAAAATCAAGTATAATATCATTTACATATTAGGGGTGCTGGAAGGAGAAGAGAGCAAATGATTGAGAACCTATTTAAAGGAATGACTGAAAACGTCCCTAACCTACTGAAGAAAAAATACATACAAGCCCAGAAGTGCAGAAAGGTCAAAAAGGTGAACCCAGAGAGGCCCCAAACCAAGACACAAAGTAATTAAAATGGCAAAGGTTAAAGACAAAAAAAGAATCTCAAAAGCAGCAAGAGAAAGATTACCTACAAGAGAGCTCCCATAAGACTATCAGCTGATTTCTCAGGACAAACTTTGCAGGCCAGAAAGGATGGCCACAAAATACTCAAAGAGATGAAAAGCAAGAACCTACAACAAAGACTGCTCTACCCAGCAAGGCTACCATTTAAAATTGAAGGAAAGATATAAAGCTTCCCACACAAGAAAAAGCTAAAGAAGTTCATCACAACCAATATTACAAGATATGTTAAAAGAACTTCTTTAAAGAAGTAAAAAAGAGGAACATTAATATGTATCATAAAAAAGCAATAAATACATACCTATCAATAATCACTTTAAATGCAAATGGCTTAAATGTTCCAATAAAAAAACACAGTATAACTAAATGAATAAGAAAAAAAAACAACCCATATATATGCTGTCTACAAGAGTTCCATTTTAGATCAAAATACACAGACTGAAAGTAAAAAGATGGAAAAGATATTTCATGAAAATAGCAACAAAAAAAGCTGAGATGGCGACATTTAAATAATTAAACAGTAGAATTTAAAACAAGCACTATAATGACAGGGTACTACATTATTATAATGATACAGGGATAAATTCAATAAGGGGATATAACCCTTGTAGACGTTTATACACCCAATATAAAAACACCTAAATATATAAAGCAAAGATGAGTGGACATAAACAGAGAGTTCAACAGTAATATAATCAGTCATAGTAGGGAATTTAACGCCCTATTGACATCAATAGACAGATCTTCCAGACAGAAAATCATCAACAACAATGACGACAACAAAAACTCCAGCAACCTCAACTAACACATGAGATCAGAAGGGTTTAATTGATATTTTCAGGGCATTTCACCCCAAGGCAGCAGAATGTACATTCAAGTGCCATAGAACATTTTACAGGATAGACAACATGTGAGGTCCCCAAAAATGTCTCAACAAATTTTAGAACCCTGAAATTATATCAAGCATCCTCTTCAACCACAATGTTATGAAAACAGAAATCAATTACAAAAAAAAAAAAAACCCCACAAAGACCTGAAAAACACACAAATACATATAGGCTAATTAACATGCTACTAAGCAATGAAAGAGATCAAGGAAGAAATCAAAAATATCTTGAGACAAGTGAAAATAAAACCACAACAACCCAAAATCTATGGAACACAACAAAAGCAGTCACAAGAGGGAACTTCATAGACTACAGGCCTACCTCAAACCCCCCCCCACAAATAAATAATGTAATGTTACCCCTAAAGTAGCTGGCAAAAGAACAAACAAAATCCAAGGTGAGTACAAGGAAGGAAATAATAAAGATCTAAAACAACAATTAAAAAGATCAACAAAACCAAAAGCTGGTTCTTTAAAAGATGTACAAACCTTTAACCAGCTTCATCAAGAAAGAAATAAAGAAGGCCAAAATAAATGAAATCAGAAATGAAAGAGAAGTGAAAACTGACACCACAGAAATACAAAGGATTTTAAGAAAATATGACAAACTATATGCCCCAAAATTGGACAATCCAGAAGAAATAAATGTCTTCCTAGAAACATACAATTTTTCGAGACTGAATCAAAAAGAAATAGAAAATCTGAAGAGACCAATTACAACCAATAAAATTGAAGCAGTAATAGAAAAACAAAAAACAAAAAAACACGTCTTCTCCCACCAACCCAAAAAAGGTCCTGAACCAAATGGCTTCACAGGTGAATTTCAGCAAACATTCAAAGAAGAACTAATACCTTTCCTTCTCAAACTATTTCAAAAAAATTTAAGAGGAGTAAGACACTGTAAAGAAAGAATATGATAGGCTAGTATCTCTGATGAACATAAACACAAAAATTCTCAACAAAATATCTGCAAACTGAATTCAGCAATACATTAAGAAGATTATGTAAAATGACCAAAGGAGATTTATTTCCACGATGCAAAGGTGCTTCAATATCTGCAAATCAATTAATATGATACACCATACTTGATTACATCAGTAGATACAGAAAAAGCATTTGACAAATCTAGCACCCATTTATAATAAAACCTCTCAACAAAGAAGAGAGGAAACATACCTCAACATAATAAAGACCATATATGACAAACCCACAGCTAACATCAGACTCAGTGGGGAAAAACAAAAAGCATTTCCCTTAAGATCAGGAATAAGATGGGGATGTTCACTTGTAGGAACTTTTTGGCAAACCTGATACATACTACATAAATTAGGTAAACAACACATTCTGCAAACCCAACCCAGGAGTCAACTGTTCCTGGTAAAATGCTATTAAATAGGGTAAAAAGATACTTGTACCAATAATTTTAACAGTAACCAGGTGGTACTAGGCAGAATTAAAGTAACACTAAACACTGTCTACTAGATGCACAAAGTTTCACAACGCATTTGGCAAATTAATTCCCATACATAGTTCTAATAAATTTATTCATGCTGAGGTTAGCCTACTAGTCTTCAGAGGCTTTAAAGTATTATCCAAAGAAAATAAGTATGGTTTTCATACAAATGACATAAAATTTAAGGATTATATCTAACAAAGATAAAAAATGCTATATGTAGTTACTTCTCATTGTCATCCATTCCTACTATATCATGAAGTATAACAAATCCCCATGATGTCTCTTTATACTAAGCATTTGATTTTGTTTATTTTTAATTTAAATACAAAAGGTCAAAGCATCAAGTAGCAGAAAGGCTATCAACAACTACCTAAAATTTAAAAAACTTTATACATGTGTTTGAAAGACTTAAACACGGAGGCATTATCATTAATGATTTAATCACTCAGTTCAATAGATGTATTTACTATATATACTTTACTTTCTATACATTAATAACAAAACTTTAAATAATTCAGTTTATGTTAAGAGTCAGTTATATTCTTCAGACAAATAACTCCAAATTAAAATTAACATTCTGAATTTTGAAATATCCACTGAACATGCCCTCTTCTTTCAGGTTCCATGTCTTTTACATACTGATTTTTCACCCAGAAAGCCCTTTCCACACTTTTCACACTCATCTTTCAAGGCTCAGATTAAAATTACCACTCTTGAAGTGTTCCTCAATTCCTCTGAATAGAATTATTCAACTTTTCTTGTTTGCTACCATTACACTTCTTTCATAGTAACAGTTATACTGTAATAGTTTTTTTCTCATCTAACCCCCACTAGATAGTTGGTTTATACAAGGACAGTAAGATAGTCTTTGATTTTGCCTCACAACTTTGCATAGAAATGTCTCTCCCTCAGTAAATATTTGAATGAATGAATAAACAGTTAAGATTCCATTATAAGGCCATACTGTCCTCAAATGCAATCATCTAATAAAGAAAAATTACAGAAAATGTCAGTCTTCTAAGACTAAAGGACTAAACCAGAAGCTCATTAAACAGAAGATAGAACCACAAATTGCCATATTCTGTCATGTATAACGTGCACCAACATTTTTGGCCCAAACTTTCAGGAAAAAAATCTTTTATGTTTAATTCAATTTTTTATTTATTTATATTTATTTATTGTTTGTATTATAAGGAAATTTCAGCATTAATTTTTGAACATATTATGGTACAAGAAATTTTATATAACTAATAATTACAAAACACAAGAAGAGATACAAGGTATTTCAGGTACTACCCATGTATAATGCACATCCTTATTTTTCCTTCAAAAATTTAGGCAAAAAAGTATGCATTATACATGGCAAAATATGGCACTCTAATTGTGCTGTAAATATTATTTTGAGTTGAAATGCTATCTAATGTCAAGAGTTGGACAGAAAAGGCAGCCATGGTAACTTGTTCTAGTTCAAGTACCTTCTAGCTGCCACATCCTACAGCATTCAAACAGAAGAATTTTAAGTCAATGATTAAGGCTTGAAGAACAAGATACTTTTATAAGTAAAAATGTAAAATTACTTAAGAAAAATTCTCAAGATCATATTTCACCACATCTTTTGCACAGAAATCCCTGGTGCTCTGGTTAAAAATGAAGACTTAATTTGGTATGTCTAGCTAGGAACTGAAATTCTGCATTTTTAAAAAGCTCTCTGTTGAGGATGCTGCTGCTGACCTACAAATCACATTTTAGCATAAACAAATATTATATTTCCTCAAGTCCAGGCTGGTCCTGTCTCAGTTTTAACTAGCATACCTTGTTAATATTCCTTGCTACAATCTATCTTGATGGTGTTAATTATATAAAACATTACTGAAAATTCAATTAGAAGAAATCTATGTTACTTGAAAAATATTTATTTGTTCTTACCTATACTTTGGTAATGCCATCGAAAGAAAATGCGTTCAGGTAGAAACTGCAGTATTTTCTAGAAAACAAACGAAAAATCATAAGAAAATAAACTATAAATGAAATTACACATTTTCATGATAGGTCCATAGTACTTACTATATATATTTCAGAAAAGAAAAAATTATGTGCAATAACATAAACACTGTACTTTATCCTGTGCCCCTATGGAACAGTTTCTTTTACTCGCCCCATGCAAGCTTCCCTGAATGTTTTAAAGAGATTCCTGTCCCACATTTAATTCCCTCCTAATGAAAAACAAAAACAAAAAAAATGAAATGAAAATTTTATCTTAATTAAATCACTGCCATTACTTAAATATTAAAAGAATAATTTCCTAAATGTCATGTTGCCCAGGTTTCTTGTTTTTCACCTTTCACTTCCCAGTTCCCTTATAATCATTGTTAGTCTCTGGACAAGAAACAGAGTTGGGAAGAAAGATGAACAAAAGAGGATGAGATCATAAACAATTCTGTGGAGTAATAAAATGAAACTAGCAGCAAAAATTTCTTGAGATTAATAACAGCTAAACATAAGTTTTAGGACTGTAGTTATGAATTCACCCATTGAAACATATCCAAAAGACAAATTTACGATATACAAGAATATTGGCTAATAAAAACAGCGCCCCCCCCCCAACCCCCCCCAAAAAAACCCAAAACCAATGAGGGTTATATTTTTCACTCTAGAGCAAGTTTTGGCAAGTTATGCTTGGGTATTATGATTTCTTCTACTTTATCTGCAACTACCTTTTTCTTTAAAAAAGTAGAAATCCAAAACTAGACAAAATAACGTTTCTTGGTATTGATAATACTTTACTATTTTACTATGAAAATACTCCATCTAAGTTTATCCAGTCCAGAGATTTTCAACCTTTTTCATCTCATGACACACACAAACTAATTACTAAAATTCTGCAGCATACCAAAAAATATATTCTTTGTCCATCTGACAAAAAATGGGTATAATTTTGATTATGTTGTTGGCTGTTGTCATTTTGTTTTTATTTGACAATCTATGGGAAAAGAGGTCAGTGTCCCCGACTAGTCAGGTATTGCATGTTTTAAAAATTCTTGTGGCACACATGTTGAAAATCACTGATCTACACCTAATACTCTAACATTTTGAAAGGTTAAGGTAAATATTTTATATTCAGATCTCCTGATAACTGTATTTCTAGGCAGCTGATAAACTGCCTTCTGCATTCAAGTCATCTTGGGGTTTGGTTTGGTTTGACTTTGTCTTAACTTTCTAACTGGGTCAGTTAACAATACACATGTATTTACTTAATTTGTTCTCACTTGACAATAAAGGGATATGTAAGAACTTCTGGGAAAAGGCAAAACAAGTAAACTTCCATCAAACATGACTTTAAATGGCACAGACTTTTCCCTCAGTTTGGATACTTCTTCACCCATAGCCTTGAACAGAAAGGATAACCTGACCATCCAGGTATCACTACAATATCACTTTCTCACAAAGGCCTTTTAAAATTCTATCAAGAGAGGCCTCCATCCTGTAACACCCCACTGGTGCTTTCTGCATCACTTGTTCTGTCTTCATAGTCCTCATCCCTAGGGAAAGGATCTTGGTTCACTCATTTCAAAGCAATATTCCCTCCAACAGAGTATAAGCCCCATAAAAGCAATACTATCTTCATATTGTTCCCTGAAATATCCCCAGCACCTACAGCATGACTGGCACACAGTATGTGCTCAATAAATACTCATTAAAGGGATTTTTGAAAGCTTTTAATTCGTGAAATTGTGAATTTTATAGGTAAGCCTGATCTTAGCTATGGTCCTATGTTCACATTAACTAAAATATACTTTGTCTTTCCTTAAATGTCATTGACCTAACAATACTCACATTAAAATATGTGGGCATAGTTTAACCCTTAGTAAAGAAAACTCAAAAAAATTAAAAAAATTAATTTTTCAAGATTTGATAAATATAAATACTAAAATATAAACGTATTTAGATCTTTATTACAAATTCTTCAAACTACACATCTACACAGATAATAACACTGTACAAACTATATCAAAGATTTGATTATATATTAAAAGTACTACATAGCTGATCACATGCTGAAAATCACTAAAGTTAATGTTCTCCTGCATTTCCTTTGCAGACTTCCCCTAGAACATGTTGGTTTGTTATCTTTTAAAACCCTTCTCTAAAAGTATATCTTATTTTACTATGTCATAATGCTAACATACACTCACACACAAAAACACATACAATGTGGTGTGCATATGTATCAAATCCTATTTAATGAAAAATACCTACATACTAGATACCAAACTTGACATCTGAAATAAAAGAAATGTGAATCAAATACTTAGTTTTCACTTCTAAAGGTTTCGTGATTAGTGAAGAAGAGAGACAGTAAAAGAATTACTGGGTTGGCCAAAAAGATCATTTGTTGTTTTCCATAAGATGGCTCTACTACTACTTAGTTGTCTTTAACTTCATTTGAAACAATTTTGTTAGACTGTATTGTGACAGCTGTCCTAACAGCATGCATTTAAAAAAAAACTTACCAAAATTGGTGAATTTTTGTGTAGCCATTTTAATACTGAACATGGAAGAAACCATGCAACATTTTCAGCATATTATGCTTCATTATTTCAAGAAATGCAAAAACACAACTGAAACGCAAAAAAAAAAAAAAAAAGATATGGACAAGGTGTTGTGATTGACCAAACATGTCAAAAGTGGTTTTCGAAGTTTTGTGCTGGAGCTTTCTTGCTGGATGATGCTCCATGGCCTGGTAGACCAGTTGAAATTGACAGTGATCAAATTGAGGCATTGAGAACAATCAACAAAGTTACTGCTGAAAATGAAAAATGTGTCTTTTATTTCACGGAAAAAACTAAACAGACTTTTTGGCCAACCCAATATCAATAAGGAGAGGGGGAAAAAAGTCTGACACAAGTTTGTCTGAGGTGCTGCAGAGGTGAGGGGGAAAGTATGTTATCTCAGCAAGGGCATCATAAAATGCTTCTTGGAAAAGAAGACTCTTGAGCTAAGATGTACAGGATTAAATTAACCTAGTGGAGAACAGAAACAGAAGGAAGAGCATATGTGAATGCCAACAGGCAAAGACAATTTGGTGTCTTAAAGAAACGGCAGCAGCAAGAGGGTCTGCTTGACTGGTAGATGGGCAAGGATGGGAAGAGATGGGACTGGAGAGGCAGAAGAGGCAGGTGAGGCTGGGGTTAATGTTCTCACAGAGCAGTGCACAGTACCTATTTAGGTTCCAGTTGTAGGTGAATTTAAGATGAATGAGAAGAGAAGCAGAATTGTCCACAAAGAAGAAATGGTAGTATTTCAGATGAGGAATGAAATGGCCTGGACCAAGGTTAGCAAGGTAAAGAGGAGAAGTATACGATCGTGATAGTAAGGAGGTAAAATTCTCAGGATGGGCAGGTAGAATTGTGGTAAATGGAGGACACAAGAATGACTCCCTAATGGCTTAGTAGATGGCAATACTTTTATCTAAGATATCAAATCCAGACGGAATCCCAGAATTGAAGCATGTCTAGTTTACTTCTGGACATTCTGGAATTTGAGGTGTCAAATAATTTATGTGAGGGAAACATCGACCAGTTGCCTCCCATATAAGCCCTGACTGGGAATCGAACCCATAGCCTTTTGGTATTTGGGATGATGCTCCAATTTCTGGAGATGATCTTCTAGGCAATTGAATATTTCAGTGGAGATGATCTTAGTGGAGATGATCTTCTAGGCAATTGAATATTTCAGTCTGGAATGCAGGAGCAGGATTTAGATGATAACAGAATATAGGGAGCAGCCAAAGATGTAGTACATGCAATCCCTCTGGGAGAGAACTTAAAATGAGAAGATGAGAAAAACCCCAGAAATATCAGTGCACTGGAGTTCCCCTAAGAAAGTACTAAGAAAGTAAGGATGAAGGAGGTAGAGCAGAAGCTAAAGACAATGTGCACAGGTCAAAGAAGAAACTCTTGATGTGTCAAGTGCTAGTATGTTTATTTGTTTTAAAGATTAGAAATAGTAATGTCTATGTTATATGTATAAGTAGTTAGAAAAAGTTAGAGACGCTGGCAAATGTGGGAAAAATTTATGCCATGTAACAAAGTGACTTCAATATTAAATCAGGGTGCTCAATGTTAACTGTTGCTCAGAGAACCCAAACATTTGTCAGCCAGACACCAAATGCCAGGCAGGAAAGATCCATCTATAAATTGTGCAGAGGAAAGTGGCTCTTTGAGAGGAAAAAAACCAAAATAGGTCTTCACCTTACAATATACACACACCAACATGAATTTTACATGGATAACACACGAAAGGAACTAAATGCAAAAACTACATTATGTTTTCAGCTCCATCACACTAAAAAGAAATCAGAAATTGGAGCGTCATTCCAAATACCAAAAGGCTATGGGTTCGATTCCCAGTCAGGGCTTATATGGGAGGCAACTGGTCGATGTTTCCCTCACATAAATGTTTCTCTCATTCTCTCCTCCCCCAACCCTGTTCCCTCTCTCTCTAAGATCAATAAGCATACTCTCTTGTGAGGGTTAAAAAAAAAACAACAGTTCTCTAGAGAATACTTTAATAAGAACCCACACGAGCATTGCCCTAGAGAATACAAACCTAAACTTGTCCCCACAAGGTATAGAAGAGGACACAGACAGGTGTGAGAAATCCAGAGAGCTTTCTAGAGATTATGAGAAAACACAAAGAGGTTAGTACAAGTAAACTAATGACTCTGGAACTGAGAAAAGTATGAGGGTCTCAGCAGTCAGGCTGCTGCCAGGCCAAACAAGCAACTCTAGGGCCTGGAATAAGGACAATGTAGAGATGGACTAGGAGGTCCCCAGACTAAAGAAAGAAAGATGGCCTCCACTTTCACCTAAGTTTTATGATTCTTTAACTCATGCTTTCTCTTTAGTAAAAAATTTACTATAGAGGCAAATTCAGTATGACTGATAAAAAATGAATAATTGTTGCAGGTTGAGTTCTCTGGGG